TTTTTTCGAGGGGATAGTTTGTAGTTATACCATCATTTTGTAGGTATGTAAGTATGGAGTAGGATAGTCAATAAGTAATGTCATAAAAGCCAAAATTTTTCTAGACCTACTTATAAACAATTTTGGAGGGAGTTGTAACGCCCAAACCTCCCTCATATGAGTGCACCCCTGATATTTTAAACAATTGATTAAATTAAATTTTCATTGTTTTGTTGCCTCGAATAGATTTTGTTTTGTTTAATTCATCACAGGCTACTTGATTAAAATATAAAAACCGTTGATATATCTGGTCTTATTTTCAATCTTATATGGTATGATAGCTCGTTGAAAAGAGAATTAAAAAATCTATCAGGTAATCTAAAAATCCAATAAGGCGCCTATTTAACTTTAGGAGGTTGGAAAATGTTCCTCAAAAGTAACAATCTTAAATTTTTTTGACATCACTTATTAATTAAGCGTATCAAAGACACTAACTTTTATGTAAAACTTTTTTTATATTTCTTATACTTTCGATTATATAAGACCTTCAAGGAACTGACCAATTTTAGTTTTTTGACATTTTGAATTTCCACAAGGAAATTTTAAATAAGTATCTAAAACTGCAAAACAAAACCAATTCTGTCCCACGCGATCTGGGACACACTGTATATTATTAGTCGAAAGCTTAATCATTTTCATCTTAAGTAATGATAAATAAATAAATCGCCTTTTAATTTTAAGGACGCTTCAAACTCAATAATAAACAGTTTACTCGTGAGTAGGTACATTTCTAATTTTTAATTTAAAACATGAGATTTTACCGCCAGAGGTACCTATTATTATTAGCATTTTTATACAGTTAAGGGGATTAGTGAACGAATTGTTTAACATTTAAATGGAATAAATAATTGTAATACTTGGACTAGCTACTATAAATTCCTTCTCTAAGTTCTGCACAACCTCCGTTTGTTTGGTTATAATAAGCACTTTCTATTGAAACTGAATGGTATGGAAGAATACGTAGGTACCTAGGCATGTCTACTTTACTAACGATTCTCGAGATCGTTTATAATTTTGTATTGCTGTCTGTCTGTCTGCCCGTGTTGCTCGCTTTGAAAATTGTTCTTAAGGATATAAAGGTCGGTATTGTTTTTCCGCTACGTAGACTATGGGGCCAAAAACTTACAGCTCAAAAACACGTCGAGAATTGTTCGGTATTGAGTTATATCGGATTTTTTTTATTCAAGCCTTTGCCAGAGGCAGAGAGGCGTGACCCAACGGGGTCATTGGATTTGACCCATTCTCAATAGGCTTGTCACATGTGAGAAAACTTGCAGGAGGTCGTGTGGATCATAAACAACAAAAATTTACTGCCAATATTTTAAAAACGGGCCTCTTTATTTGCTGGCTCCCGAGCTATCTTGGCTCAGTCGGACCCTTAGCGACAAAGCGAAACAGGCTGACGGCTGCTGTAATAAGAAAATTAAAAAAAAGGTTTTCGCTTTAGGGCTAGTAACTTTAGCGCATTTTCCATTAATTGATCTGTAGGTACATCCCAAAGGTTATATAATGGTCTATTTATGTGTACAAAGGAAAATTAATTAAAGCATAAATATTCTCCATAAACATCGTGTGTATTGCACTGTCTGCGCATGCGCACATCTATATGCGTTATATATGTGCCTTTACTGGAAGCATCTGTGGTTAAAATTTCAAAAAAAGTCTCTACAAATAAGAAAGTCAAGATTGTTATGTTAAAGTAGGCCTCGGGCGGACGAAAGAAGAAAGTGGTCATAATAGCACCTTCTAACATGAGTTGGAAAATGCGCTAAAAGGTACTAACGGAGTTTGCTACAACAGTAATTATCAGATTTCAGGAAATATTTCTCGGTGTAGGTTTTCTTCGCATTTTCCAACGCTATTGTAGCCACTTTCTCCATTCATTCGTCTGACCGTCCGTCCGAGGCCTTAACTACTCCTACAGTTTTTAATCTATTTAGTTCATTCTTTTTGAATTCGGTAGCTTATATCTCTGGCACCTGAGTCAAGAAAACTCTTGACGATTAATCTGCGTAATATCAGCTTTTAATATATTTGTTGAAATTTTAGCCACAGATGCTTCTAGTAAAGGCAAACATATCGCATATACTACAAATTATATGTGCGCATGCGCAGACTGGGCAATCAGCGCAATGCCAATTTTCTTATTAGTGTTTGTCCGTAGCTTACCAATGGTACGGCTCTCTTCGGGTCGCTTTTGGGAAGATACAGTTGAGTTTATAAAAGGCACTCTGATAATTGCCTCTCGTAGCATGGAAACACGACTTTTAATCCGGCTGATATTCAATACCTCTGATCCTTGAGCTCGTTGAAATCAATTGGCGAAGGTTATTGACATCGCTGTCTCTTTTCGTTCTCGAGTTAGACGGGGAATAGACGGACTGAGAAATGGACAGACAGACGGACAAAACAATAGCATAAAGGAAATTTTTTTCTTCCGAAAAATTACCTAAAAAAATTGATTCGTTTTACATGTATTTGTATTATATGTATTATAAAATGTTTACACCGTTTTCTACTTCAAGCGATATTTCTTACGATAATCAGCATTTTCAATAAACAACTTAATAGTAATCTAATTTCCCTTAATTTACAATTTATGTCGATAAAAAGTATGACAATCATTAACAAAGAAGAAATTTCGAAGAACTTGGAATTAATTAGTGTACCTACCTGAGTTACTTTTACCTATCAAAATGTTTTTATTAACGTTAATGCTTATTAAACCGGCGGCTCCTGGCGTAATGGAACTGAAACGAAAGGAAAAAATGAAATTATGTGTCACCATTCACAATTTCGAATGTAATTAAACAAATAATTCATTTTTGTATATACGAGGCAAATGATGAAGAAAAGTAGGTTAGTAGATTATTATTGATTGACACATCGCGATAGGTTTCTGAATACCTAAGGGAGAAAGTACGTTTACAATTAGTTAATGAGTAATTAAAATACTGCGCTGTCTTTTAGGTACCTCCTATTTTACTTTATGCTTATTACGAGTGTCTCTGGTTTTGCAAACAAAAGTTTGACTAAGTACCAAAGTGAATTCTGGTTGAAAATTATTAGCGCGCTATTGGGTCACTTTGTCTGCTCCCCCACTCACCCAGTTAATCACTCTCAAATCTTTATTCCTAATATGTATATATTATCCTGGTTCCTGCGTTATCTTGGTCAAACAGTTTGCATTAACGGTGACATTTCTTCCAGTTCACTTCGCCTGAAAGTTACGCCAGCAAAACGAAGAATTTACACTTTTGGTAACTGTAATTCATTCAAAGAATATAAATTAAAATGTCCTATTTATCTCGTGATCGCGTCCAAATCTAATTAATTTATCTAGATTTTTTTAGTACCTTTAATTACTCCAACACCCTGTACATTTTCATATTCAAAAAAACTAAAAATTCAACTTCACAGTTAATGAGAAAAAAAATCACCAGATCTTTGGTTTGGGTTTGCTTATCATTCATAACAAACATACAAATTTGTTGACGGAATAAACTCCTGTGGGTCGACCTCTTCAGGAATGCTAAATTGGGTGAGTCAAAGTTTTCTCCCATTGACACAAAAGAGCCAAAGATGTACACAGTTTTGATTAATAAACTTGTTTTTTGTACTAATTGTTTAACCGCTACAAAAGTAGACTCAATGAACGTTATGCACCTTGGACCACAACCCTTTCGTGGTAAGAATTTCTTCAAACCCGAGCACGCTAATCCAATAATGTAATAACTGGCAAATGTGTACGTACGATTAAGAAAGTTACACTGTAATTACGATTGAACATAAATCAGCTGTCCGTTAATTTCCACTACACAAGGAAGTTCTCTTTTTGCGTTAACACGCTGCGCATTATTGGTTGCTCGTAATGGTAACTCACAATGAAATAATATAATATCGCTCGCACGACAATAATTTAGTCGAAATGGCGGTACTGTTTTTCTTTAAAACTCCAGTAAATAACTTTCACAATTTTCACAATACAATAAGTATCATCTATGACTACGTGGCAGACAAATCTTTTGTCAGTTTCAAAAATACGGCTCTCGTTCCCGTTCACCTATAATTGAAAATGAATCGTAACACGATTTAAAAATACAGCGCTCAAATTTTCGTAGTTTTGCCTCGAAAGATTGGCTAAGAATGCCTCTCTCCCACCCGATTCTTGCTTAAAGACTCGCCGAAGGTAGCGAAGTGTCAGAGGTCACTGAGAATCACGTAAGTGTACAGATAGTGTCCAATTAAGATCTGGTCGTACCCCCCCCCCACTGAGGTTACTGGTAAAGGCTAGGCACGAGGGAAGATCACAAAGCTAAGTAAGGAAAAATCGGCATGGAGAACGGAGCACCAGGACGTGCAGGACTAAAATATTGGGGAAGAATGGGGTATATTTAAATAACACCCAGAAAAGGAACTAAACTGAAATTCTGTATTTTCCATTATTATACTCGTACATATACAAGGACGGTTCATTGGAAAATTCCCACCGCCATCTTATCTGAAACACAGTACTCCTGATCTACATAAAAATTATATTACCTGGTGACCTACTTACATCGAACTTGTTTCGAATTTTGTTACGTTTAACAGTTTACGGATTCCCAAAAATTCAAAATAATTAATATCCATAGTTTAGCCATTTGAAAGCATATTTTGCCATTTGACCACTTAGAAAATGAGGTAATTTGAAACCTTTTAAAATTTATTCTGTACAGATAAGCGACTCCTCGATTCATAAAACTCAAGTCACATTTTCCAAAACTTTACAAATTATGGGATAAGACTAAGGTTCTAAATTCCAAATTGTACCTAAGTCTTGAGAGATTGCAATTTTTAAGAATTATGCATTTATAAGTTTCTGTCGCCAGAATTGAGGAGGCAAGTTTAATTTTCAATTCGTAGCTCTTTGTTCGTTACGGAAAAGATCCTAGGCACTAAATCGCAAGCGCGCTTCAAATCAATATTCTCGTCGTTCCAAATTCGCAGTGTCATTTTCATAACTTTGATAATATTCTACTACAAAAGTGCAAACATTTACCAAAATGACCATTGCTAAATACCTAGAACACGAATTACTCGTAAGTACGCAATGAGCACCAAGTGTAGGTACGCAAAATTGCTTTGTATTATTTCAGGACGAAGAGGCGGGTCCTCTATGTACTGAAAACGATGGAACCCTGGTATGTGTAAATATAACCTCATGGGAAATTCTATGGGAGTTATTAGAAAGCCATGCAACAGCAAGTGAGGGTTCATTAGCCGAGATCGAAAGCCTGCTTATAAAATTTAGCAGTCTCCCAGTATTGCCGACCGGTTGCTTTTCCAGCACGCCTCATTTGACGAAGTTATTGTTGAAAAATTGTAAAATCAAGGAGCTACCAACGGATGTCTTTAGCGAGCTACCCTTACTTACAATGTTGTACCTAGATACTAATGATCTTTCTGAATTACCATGCGGAGTTTTCGACAACAATCCCGAACTAATCCATTTAAGTGTCCACGATAACAAAATTAAAAGCATTGAGGAAGATATTTTCAGTAATTTAACCAAGCTTAAAACTTTGTCTTTGTCGTATAACGACATTAATGAAATACACCCGGGGGCATTTCAAAATTTAGTTAATCTGGAAAGCCTTCAATTATTCCAGAATAAAATTGAATACATTGATCCCGGATTATTCGGTACACTGACGTCTTTAAAAAATCTAAATTTACTGTACAATCCAATTAAATCGTTCTCAAGCGAGATATTCTCCCAACTTTCATCTTTGGAGGAGCTCGACTTGGCCAATACTAACCTAGACCTATCCGTCGATGGCTTACTTTCCAATTTGCCACAACTCCAAGAGCTCAATTTGAGCGAGAACCCCATCAAAGACTTACCTGAAAATTTCTTAGCCAGTTTTCCCAATCTCACCAAACTGCTTATGCACGACACCGCCATCACAAGCCTACCCGAAAATATGTTTCAAGGTGCCGAAAATTTAAAATACGTATCTTTAGTGCGAAATAAAATTTCCGTCCTGCCCGATAACGTGTTTAGTAATTTGCGCTCCTTGGAGGTGCTGCAATTTGAAAATAATCAGCTGGCTGCAATTAACTCGACGCACTTTCAAGGCCTGACTCAACTTACATTGCTGGATTTGGGCGAAAACAATATAGAGACCATCGAGGATTCCGCGTTTAAAGACTTGAGCTCACTTGTAAATCTAAACTTGGAGGGGAATTGTTTAACAAAAATTGCTTCGGACACTTTCAATGGCTTGACGAGTCTAGAGGTGCTCACCCTGCGAATAAATAAGATTAAAACTGTCGAGGCTGGTAGTTTTGCACATTTAATCAGTTTGCTTATTCTACATTTAGACAACAACTGTATTGAACAGATTTCGGGTGGTGTTTTTGATGGGCTCGAGAACCTGTTGATGTTAAATTTGAAAAAATGCAGCCTTACTCATTTGGAACGCGGTTCGTTTAGTGCCCTTGCTAATGCGCGTTTGGTGAACTTGTCGAATAACGACCTGGAGATTATTGAGGAAGGTACATTTGTTGGGCTTACCAAGCTCGAAGAGCTTGATCTGACTTCCAACAATATCAGCGCAATTAAAACTGGTGCCCTAGCAGGTTTGGACAATTTGCGAAAGCTAGACTTGGAAAGTAACCTCATTGAGCGAATCGGCGATAATACCTTCGATTGTCTCACAAGCCTTCGCTGGCTCTCGTTGAAATTTAATAACGTAACTTTACTGGAACAAAACGCCTTTGAGGGTTTAAACATGCTGCAACTGTTAGATTTAAGCTTCAATAACTTAGATTTTGTTATAGAAAATGACTTTAAACATTTAGGTGAATTAAAATTTCTGTATTTGGTTTGCTGTAGTATCAACAATATTATATCCTTTAATAGCTTAAGCTTATTGGAACATTTAGATATTTCTGGTAATAGCATTAACGATCTAGATTTCGGTTTTTTGGAAACGTTGCCAGCGCTTTCATTTCTAAAAATTGTAGGTAATGAATTATCTGTGGAAAAATACATAGAATTGACTAACAATTACCCCGAGATTGTTATAAATGACGACACAGTGTGAAGCTGCATTTAAATTAAGTGTGCCTCTGCCATGTAATTGGTATCGTTACATAAGTTTATGCACAATTAATAACGCACCATTGTAAAGCTTTAATTAATAAATTACTTATTTTTCTTCTTATTCTTTCTTTTCCACTGCACCTGAACTTTTGCATCTTTACCTATGTTACATAATTTGTATAGGTATCTTGAATCATAACTGAAAATTAAGAAGCAAATTGGCTTCTTCTGTTGCAATAGGAAGTTGTTTGGATACCTACGGATATTGATTAGACCTATCAACATTAATTAAAATTGCTATTATATTAGGAATGGGGCAACGAAAACGTTATTCAACCCAATACGATTACGACGATTACGAATGAAATCACGTCCAGAGTTTCCAGAGGGAAATACAGGGTGTCCTACGACGAATGCCGGCTGTCTAGATCTCGAAAATGAAACTTTAAAATATTTTGAAAATTTGACAATATTAGGTAGTACTAAATGTCGATAAGAATAATTCATTTAAAACACTTTCTGGTGACCTTCCTGTAATATCGTAAGTTAATGCCAACTTTCTTATTTTAAATAGAACACCCTACATATTATTTACCTTTATATAGATATAGATTTCATGCATGCTGTACGTCCATTACGCCCGTTTTAACATATTTTAATTGTTATGACAAAATGGCGTTTGTTGCCCCATTTTTTTCTTTATGTTATGTAATTCAGTTGGGACTGATTTCCTTTTAAAAGAGCCCTTTACTGTTATTTTCTAGCACATTTTTCGCTGTCTAAAAGGAGGGCCCCTCACGAATTATTTCCTGAGATGCTGTTTTTGAAAGTAAAACGTGCATAACTTTTACATATACGACAACCAATTGGTCTCAGATTTTGCATACGCATGCCTTTAGTGGTGCTAAGTTAACTTAAGAAAATGAGGGGGTATGTTCTATCCTTCATGGTATTCTAATGAAAGGTCTCATCGAAATAAATTGGTGTGTACAAATGTACAAACTATAACTTTCCCGTGCGACTCTTTTTCGAGATCTGTGAGGGGGGGGGGGGTTAAAAATTAATTTTATATCGTGATCGGGTATATTCCCTTATACCTCAAGAACGGATTGTCGGAATAAGGTACTCACAAAGGGCGATTGACACGTCTGCGAGAAATATATCTATTGGTGATGTCAAAACAAAAGCCCTTTCGGTTAAAAAGATGCGCTTTATCTGCACAAGAGTTGTGTACAATTTATACTTCTTAAATATATTTTATACTAATCAAAATATCAACAGATTCCACTAAACTTGAATCCTTTTTAACAAGAAACCAATCCCAATTAAAGAATAGCTAAGTGCTTTAATATAGAAACGTTACCAATTTGCTGCAAACATTATCTTTGACATAAAAATGGTCTGCGCCCTCCATACTTGGGTATGACTCATCGATGTATATCGTAATAATTAGCTTACTGTCCGCTTTGTCTCTTACAATCTGACACATACTGCAGTTTGTTAGAAAAGGATGGCAATTCGCAATTTGAGTGTGCTGCTATAGAGAATTTTCACGAGGTAGATAATACTAAGTATAGTGAACCCAAATGACACTAAAATATAGATCAAAACTAATAAACCAGTAAACAAATCGTTAAATCCGTAATTAAATGACTAAGAAATATATTATGCCATTGTATTAAAAATGTTTGTTTATATACACTTGCTTAAAATATTGTCATTTTTACAAATGAATTTAGGATAAACACGAATTGCCAGTTTCCCATTTGAAATATAATTAATTATAATATATATAATTATAATATATATAATTATAATATATAATTATAATATATAGGTAATTATAATATATAATTATAATATATAATTATAACATTTCTTCCGCTTACATAATTCACTAACACTTTCTTCACTAACAATTTACGTAGAATCGATGTAGGTAGGTATATATAATGGTAGAATGAAATAAATATTATTACTACACTTCACTAAATTGAACAAATCAGAATTAGGAACTTAAGCGTAAATCGATTAGGCATAATGGCGTATTTGTGCGAGGTGAGGGGGTGTAGTCATGTCCCATACACACTGTGTCCAAAATAAGCATTGTCTAGCATCGAGATCTCCGAAACCATAGAAGATACGACGATGGTCAAATTAGAGAAAATATGCGCAATTAAAGATTTATTATATTGCTTTAAGGAAAACCAGATAATTCCCATTACTTCGGAAGATATGCCAGAAAAACCAAAATTTTCCAATTTCGTTTTTATTTTTTTCTGATGTTATCTGAACAGATTAAAAAAAGAAAGCCTTGTTCATTGCCACTTTTTGAGCTCTACGAGACACTGTTGAGACATTTTCTTTACAACGATTCGTTTCGGAGAATCATCATCAACTTTAGATTTTTATATGGCCCGCAAAAAATTACATACTGTATTTAGTAGCATTTTTTTACGAATACAGCGATGTATCACACGCGCAAAAAAAACAAAAGCTGGCAACTTTGTTGATTTCAACAAGATGGTGCTTCTGCGCGATAGGTATTTTCGCACGGTAGGGCGTTATGCGCGGAACACCGCCTTGTATCCGGCTGGTAAAAGTCTTTTCACTTGGGAGAAGTGGAATAGGCATATATGTATGGTATCATTTTACAGGTCTTTTTACAGCCCACGAAATTGTTAGTAGGAAAAAATGTTGTAAAAATTTAAGTTTCTGAAAAAAATGTCAAACTATCAATTTTCAGTGGTTCGAACCCCTATAAAAAGGGTTTCCACAGACCCCTCGAATTTGGAATTTAAAATCATATTTGAATATACCTATAAATAGTTATATAGTGGGAAGGGAACCCTCCGAAAACTGTTTTCTAGTCTACGATTTTATTAAATCGCATCTTTATCCAATATTGGGTACACTTTTCTATTATTTCTTTAATATAATCCTGTATACCTTTGGATACAGTATTTTTAATCAAACCTGTATAAGTACGTAGTGAAAATCGGCCTCTAGTTTCTCGTATAAAAATCGCGACTCATCTTCAAACCATCGTGGGACACTCTGTATTCAAGCAAACCAAAAGTGAAGGGTGAGGGTTAATTCTCTAAAATCAAATACTTATTTCTATATGGTTGAGTTAGGTAACTAAGGGCGCGCCTGTGAAATTCGATCTGTAAAATACACTTTATTTCCCAAAGCCACCTAGTTTGACTGACATCACCTCAATTCCTAATTTAAAGCTCATAAGTCAATAAGAGACCAAACAGAAATTAATTATTCAAAATTGAAGTCTATCTGCAATAAGTGCCATCTATCAGTGTATCTTAAAGAGGTTTGCAACTTCTCTACTAATTAATGACCACTTTATTTTGGTTTCAAGGTGTGTTGGACTGTGTGCTGTGTGTTGATTTATTTGCTTACAAAATAAGAATTTGTTCTAATAGAGGAATTTGTTTACAATAAAACGTAAATTAAATATGCCAGAAGATAATTCGGAAACATCAAAAAGTAAAAGACCTTCAGGTAGGTATTCTAAACCTAGTTGACATAATTCCACAGTAGCTTAGCATTTTATAGATTTGACTTTACCCCATTATTTTTTCTTATTGATTTTCCTCGTAATACCTCTACATAATTAAGGAGATCTGAATGCGGTATATATGAACATGGTTTGCAGCCGTTTCCTTTCATTTGATTCGTGTAGATGCTTCATGTCTCACGTATTTGCATCAAAAGTTTGCTCCACTTCGTTATAACAATAATGACGAACATGATTTTAGCAATATGTACGTGAAATTATAGCACGATCTCATCTATAACTGTGTTTTAGATAGTGCATTCAAGCAACAGCGGCTACCGGCGTGGCAGCCTATTCTAACTGCCGGAACTGTTTTGCCCACGTTTTTCGTGATAGGAATCGCATTTATACCCGTTGGGATTGGTCTGCTGTACTTTTCGGACGAAGTGAAAGAAAAAGTGATCGATTACACTTACTGTAAAAACACTGCGGGCTTTCAGTGCGCCGATATAATCAGTAAAGATCCTAATGCAAATTGTACGTGTCGTATCACCTTCGATTTAGAGACCGGATTTCAGGTATCTTGCAGTTGTTAGATGGTGGAAGTGATTCGCTTGTTTTTAGGGAAAAGTGTATATGTATTATGGATTGAGCAACTTCTACCAGAATCACAGGCGTTATGTGAAGTCGAGGGATGACAGCCAGCTGCTGGGTAGACTGAGTGATCTTGTTTCGTCGGATTGTGCACCATTTGCGTACGAGTTCGATAACAGTACAAACACACAAAAACCAATTGCACCATGTGGCGCTATTGCTAATTCGTTATTTAGTGGTAAGTATGTGCGGTCAAAGATCACATGATTTTTTGAGTTGGTATCTATTAAGGCATGTAGGCACGCATAAGACATTCTATTTTCACGGAGTGTAATGTCTTTTCCAAAATTATACTGCAAGATGTTTCATTGGTTTTGGTATCTGGGAGGTTTTTCACATGAAAACAACAAAACAAAAACGGTTCGAATTTTACAAAATTTGTTGTGTCTACTTACGTTCTGTAAGTTTAAGAACACTGTTTAGTGGGGAGCCACCTTGAGGTAGGAATTTTGGAAAAATATTTACAAAGCCAGAAACAAATGGGACATAATTGTAATTTCATTTTAATGTACTGCCTTATTTCAACCACCTAAAAGAGGCAAAGAGAAAACCTAAAAAAAATTTGCGGTGGCTAGCACAGATACCACCTGCACATCTGTGAATGCGTGTTGTACCCAGAAGTTTTTCAGCCTTTTCCTTTCTGTCTAAGAATCGGTGTACGAAATGTTAATGATGTGTTAAAAACTGACTTAAAAACACTCAAAATTCAAAAAATTAACAAGAGTCATCCTCTCACTACCACGAGAGTAGCTCTAGGGCCCGTATTGATTACAAGGAACGAAAAAAAGCTACTGAAAACCTTTCGAGCTAGGTACTCACATACTTTCTCATTTCTTTTCCGATTTGCATTTTACAATTACATTATAATCGCTCTCAACTTGTACGACATTATCGGAGAATGCGACATGTAGTTGTGTAGCTGCCACTAATTACAATCCTAACTTAACACTAAAGGATACGTGGACGGGCACAATAAAGGAAATCATAAATGCAATCACAGCAGTATAAATTACATTTGTCAGTACGGTTATGGTGGTATACACTGTGTCCGAGATAAGAAGGGCCATCGCAGATCTACTATAGAAACAGCAAAAGATACAAGTTTCGTTAAATGGGAGAAAAATTACGCCATCAATGGGTCTAAAAATAGCGTTTAGAAATTCCTGAAAAATTAAAAAATGAAGTTGATGAGGGTTCCGCAAGAATGAAACGTTGGATTTTAAACAAGTTAACCGCCACCTTAAAAAGCATTAAAAGTTGTTGAGAAGTGTCCTTGGTTTTGCTGTAGGTGAAATATTTCCGCCAGATTTCTTAACAGAAAAATCCACTCAATCATTTAAATGCTCGCGTTTGTGATTTTCGTAAGAAAACACCATAAGACGCCACTAGTGGTAGTGTGATAGACTGAAACCAAACGTGCCAAGTAATAACATATTTGTGGGAAAAATGTATTTAATAGAAACAAATAAAGGTGTTTTACAATTTTATGTTACTATTGAGTGTTTCTGAGTGGTCTGTAAACGAAACCTGTTGATCTTGTAGTAGTTTGAAACCGCTTGATGACCAGGGAGGTTTTTATCATGGCAGTTTGCAGTTATATGTGCTAAAAGAAATGTTTTATCATTTATTTCCTACTGAGACTGACTGTTTTAAGTTGTGTCATGCGACTTCCTCTTACAGATGTGCTGATATTATATAACGAAAAAGACGAGAAAGTGCCCTTATTGAACAAGGGAATAGCATGGGACTCGGACAAACACATCAAATTTAGAAATCCCGAAGCGCCGAACGGGCTGAAAGAGGCCTTTAAGGGATTTTCGAAACCGAAGGCGTGGAAGAAGAACATTTACGAGCTAGATTTGGAGGACGAAACTAATAACGGATTTCAAAATGAGGATTTCATCGTGTGGATGAGAACTTCGGCTCTACCGACGTTTAGAAAGTTGTATCGTAGAATCAATCACAGCGCGACCGGTTATAAAGATGGATTGTATCAGGGGAAGTATACCTTGGTTGTCCATTACTGTAGGTATCATTTTTCTTTTTAATGTACTAACAGTACGTACTTTTTAGCATACGATGTAAAACCGTTTGATGGTTCGAAGCGTATGATTTTGAGTACCACTTCTTTGCTGGGAGGAAAAAACCCTTTCCTTGGGATTGCTTATATTGTAGTAGGGTGCATTTGTTTGTTACTAGGCATTACCTTACTCTTTATCCATATAAAATGTGGGAAAAGGTCTGCTGGGATTGGCTAGTTATAAAATACTGACATATTCTGTTTTAGTACCAGTGAAATGATTAATGTAAATCCACGAACACCTTGGACGCCGTCGTGAGTTCTCATTAAAAAACCAAAGTAGCATACATAGTTTGTCGGACTGTAACGCAGGTATATGTGCTTAAAGTTAATTAATCTTAAGTCGATGTGATTTCTAGTTAATAACTATTTATAACTTTTGTAAGTATTCGTTAACAGTTCTGTTCAAATCTTTAAATTTGGTTGTAAATAAGTGATAAATTTTATAAATGTTTGACGTATTATTTATTACGTAAACTAGTAAATATGATTTGTTTGTTAGTACCTTACACCTTCTTTCCATAAATACAGTAGAATCTTGATAATCCGACACATATGGGACCACGCAATCGCCGGATTATCGAGAGTGATAAAGAAAAAACGCCAATTTTACTATGAATATATGTGCATAAAATGAAAATGCTTACAAATTATACAAAGAAAACAAAATATACACATATATGTAATTTTACATACTAGGAAAAATAATCTTTAATTTTTTTTGTTTCTTGGCTATATGCATTTTATCAAAAATAACATCTTCTAGTCGTGCCAGAGATATGCCGGATTATCAAGATTGCACTGTATTAGTATTCATTCATCGTTTGCTATTGAAGTATGTAGCCTTAACGGCGATTCAGAGTTCCTTAACAGTAAAGGTTGCCGCACATATGTCCATTCCGTCACGTCGACGGTTTGCGCTATGCATAGAGACATTGTCTTTTATGTTGAACGTTTTTCGACGGAACGTACTAGTGTGCAACCTAAGAGCAACACCTTATGTACATGTATGAGGTAACAGTAAGAAATAAGAAAATATAAACATTCAAATTATGCCGACATTCAGAGTTTTTCTGTAAAGACGCAAGGCATGAAATGAAATAACTCATTTTCATACCAACATCTCCGTTTATCCGTTAGTCATTGAGAAGAATTTTTAAATCGCACGTCGGCCTTTGGACGTAGCATGTATATGTATTACATTATACAATGGACGTAGTTTCGTTTCCATTGGACCGTTTTTAACAAGAGTGAGGTTATATTTGTTACATTAGCGCTTGCAGAGAGTAATTGCTTTTAGGCATATATGTTTTTTGTTCTGGGCATATATGTACCTTTTCGTTTTTGTGTAAGTTTGCTTTTCCAGTCAAGGATGCTATATAATATAAGGATTGCTCGATCCCTATACTTGTAAAGCGCAGTTTAGACGCTACAATAAATTGTAACAATTTATCGTAACGATCGAATCGTTACGATTTATCGTTGCGTGTGAACAGAGGATTGTAGCGATTTATTGGAATTGGATTGGATGGTTGATGGCGGCCGGCTTCAATTGCTGCGAATCGTAGCGATAAATTGGAACATGTAAACAATATCAGCGATTTATCGCTACGATTTGTGATTAATGTTGCCGAAGTGAACCATTTTTGTATCCATTTGGGCTACTTGGACTGTCTCTAGCGCATTTGGCGAGTGGCGATCAAGTTTGGCCACCCAAAAAAAATATTTAGCGACACATGGCTACTCATAAATCATAATCGAGATTAAGATTCTATTCTAAACAAGCAATGTAAGCAATAAAATGCGAGTATAATTTACATTAGTGGACAGAACCAAAAGACAAGTTGAAAAGTAAAAAAATAAAAACTGTATTAAACCGTGATCGACAATGAGATTGGAACAAGAAATCGTTACATGTAAACAGTATACGCACTCTTTCGATTTATTGAACGATAAATTGGACAATCAGATCGTTACGATTTATCGAAGCCAAGATCGTAGCGTCTAAACCGCGCTTAAGTCATATGTGACGTCACCAACGGAGCTGGCTCTCAGAATTGACAGTTATAATTTGCTAAGTTGCCAACGTTGTTGCATTCGCGTTATAACTGTGTGTATGTGTTCGCTATATTGCAACAAAAAATGCTTGGACACCGACGCGCGACATGCAGTATTGGACTGTAATAACAATTTGGGGTAGTATGCACATTTTACACTCAAACTGACGCTCATTTTAGTCAGTGTCAAAAAGAACGTCGCAAAATCGTTATTTTAAGATGGACAAAGTTTAAATAAACTGATTTAGCTGCAATTTTCATGGATGATGAAGAGCAAAAAAACAAAAAACGCTGGATGAAATGGGTTCACGACATTTATTTGAGTATGCGAAAAACCGAAGGAAAATTTGTAGACTTGTAGACGATGAATGACAAATGTTTCTAATTTAAATACCTACCTACAACATCCATTTGAACGTATTAGAGCCCCTTCTTACCAGGCGTTTTTTAAAGCGGCTGATAGCGTAACCTCTTCACACGGTGAGAATTGCAGCGCCACAAGTAGCGCGAAGCGATTTTCAGAAGCGCCTTCACGCAACAAAAGCGCACGTACCAAGAAGGGGCGTCGTTTTTTTTAAAAAATGGTAACCCTTTTTTGACAAGCACCTTCCGTAAAAAGGATCTAACAATGTTAATTTAGACTCGGAAAATCAAAAATGTAACAATATCGCACAGTGTGAAGGGGTCGCGGTACTAGAAGCGGAAGTCCGCTAGAAGTCTATTATAGCATCTACGCACTTCTGTGCCACTTCATGTGAGAGCGTCCAATAATAGTCCAGGAAATGAAAGTTGAAATAGTATAAAACCTGGCAAATTTTTCAAAATGCAACGATTTGCATGAAAATTTGGGATTAAACACTTGCGCCACGTTAAGTGCTTCAATTTGAATGGCGCTTGTGTTGATAAACAGCCCAAGAGTGTAGCCCCGAAATGTATACAATAATAGATTTTCTTTACAAGTTTAAGTTTTTTTATTTCAAAACGTCTGCTACTTTCTGGACAACCCTTGTATATATACAATAGCCATTTGTGATTTGTATTTCCCAAAAATAATTCAAAAACCACTCGATTTAGGTATATACTGGTTCTCAAAAATAATCAACTGGACAATCTATAGGTCTTCATTACAACTGTCTTTTCTTATGCTCAAACTATTACATAACCTTTTTATTTACGTTTAATTAAAATACACAGATAGGTATGTTATAATTTAAGTATCTCTATTATATACATTACCTATAAACTATTACATAATACAGGCAAAATTTATACATCTTATTCTTTCAAAAAATAAACAGATTACATTTCTGTAAAAACAAGAAATAACAAAGTAGTACTTAACCGGATCTTTGTTAAATGTATTTGCACATTTGACTTGATAACTAATCCTAAGAATATAAAATTACAAGCAACTTTAGGTACATAATAAAATTATTAAAAGAAAATCTGCAAATCCAGATTTCTACTTCAAAATTGAAAATATTTACAAAATACTTGAAATTAAATTATTGGATTAATTAATAAATCATGAAAGTTCATTTTCCATGTAAATTAATATACTCTAATTACTAAATGTGTTATTCACAACATTAATACATAGATATAATAGTGATCTGTACAAATAATTTTATGACAACTTACTACTGGAGTACTTCAGAAATAAATGCTCAATAGTTACAATGGTGCACGAAGTATTTTTGTTTCATACAAAAGGGCTTCTAATGTAAAAAGATACAAGTGGCAAATCCATGTAGGTATCAATTCTTTTATAATCAAATATGTATAGGCACATGCACAATTAACTGTTCGCGATCCGAAAACACCTCGCTGCACATTTCGCATTTAAATATATTTTGTGCATGTTGCACAGAAAGTTCGGCCAACTCGTGCAAGGGACTGGGATCTGTTATGAACTCTTCTTTAATAACGGGCGTAGGAGAAGCGCATATATCGGGTATAATGTTCTCAGGATCAACAACTTCTTCCTTCACCTTCTTACTTTTCGAAACAATCATACCGCCTCCTTTGACGAGACGCACTACTTTACTACCTGGCCCAATAATTGTACGCCCCGGCCTTAAGCTGTAAGTTTTCTTATCGGATTTATCACCTATAGGCGTCTGCGTTATTTTGATGATATTTGTAGGAACCGGACCAACATCTTCTTTCCGGGTTTCCACAGTCTCCTCGTTGACAATGTCAGTAGGTACGTCACACTCGCCGTTTGTTTGGAAGTGTTCCAGATCGTTTTGCAATGGCTCCTCACTGGCAAGTAAATTATTGACAGCTTCCTCCGGATCTTCTTCTCCGAATGTAGCGACGGGAATCTTGTCCGACTGTAGCATGTGATGATAGTTGACATTCTTTGTGCGCGGGCGTATCCTATCACCTGTTGCCGACTTTAGTTCTGTTGGCTGCGTGTGAGTTACCAGCGTTTTTGTTTTGTGTCTTATCTTTCCACCCTCGTTACTTTCGACCGGTACCCGAGTTTTTTGTGTGTGGATCATTTTGGGTCTTGAAGGAACAGGTTGCTGATCGTTCTTCAGTTTTCTTTTCACTTTGCTCGGTTTTGTGCTAACTATTGTATTAATGTTTTCTATAGTAGCGGTAAAATTGTTATATATGTCTGAGTAACTTTGCTCTACATTGGACTTGGGCGGTGTTTTCTTCGGTTTTCGCACTATTTTTCTCTTGTATTCACTATCATTATCAGTATCTGTTAGGTGATCTTCGTCTTCATCTTCATTGGGTCTTGTAGTCATCATTTCAATTTCATGTGGTTTTAGCTTTCGTCTTCTTTTATATTTTCTTGGGCCAACCTGAATACAGAGAGTCTTTAGTGAGTTGGGCATATATTTTACAATATGTTTGAGAACTAATTCTGGAGGGGGGGGGGGGGGGAGTGAAACCATACGTAACTTGTGGAATCTAATGATGATTTCTTACGAAATCACGATCGCGCGTATTTATTCCAAATGTAGAGTAAAGACTTTACACACTATAAAGTCAATGGTATTAGCTTAGCCTCCACCTACTATAAAACAAACGCAACTACACTTAAAAAATATCAAAAATTAAAAAAAGTTGATAAGATAAATTGTAAAAGACTAAATTACCCATAAACAAACTCCCCAATAGCGTATGCCGATTTTCAACCATCTATGTATTACTAATCATTTAAATGAATGGATGAGTTCACCGATTAATGAAAAAAATTTCAATGTGGCACTTTGTGCTAAGGGTCCCTCTCGCCCCAAATTTCCGCATACCGCTCAACCGGGTGTCAATTGGAATAAATTAAGTTTTTCTTAGTATCTTTTCCATTGTGACATAAGTATTGTTATTTAAAATAGTTAATGCAAAAAGTTGTCGCATAAGTTTAATGAACGCTTTGTAAAAAAACACGTGCGCTGGGGTTCAAACCCGTGTCATCGACAGTTACAATCTGAAAGCGGCCGCCTTTCTAAGAGAGCTATCGGACTCTGAAACAGCTTTGACAAATCTTTTTGAGAACCTTTTTAAAATCGTCCTAATACAACGCCCTTCCGCAAATAGAAAATAAAGAAAATTTGCTTATTATTATAGTATTTTCAGAACGATTTTGCAAGACTTCTGGAAAATAAATTTTATTAAAAATCCTTTCCGAGAATTGTTTTATCGTTTCCAAAATTTACACTAATATGGTATGTGTGGTACTCTTATACAGGGTGTCCCACAACAAATGCGGTCTTATCTATACCTCATTCATCTGAAATATTTTCAAGTTGGCGAGTAAAAAATAACAATGGAGCACTAAAGAAATGACCAATCATGGCCAACTAACAAAAATTTTAAAACCATAGAAAAAAATATTAAATAGCTGAAATGAACATTTAGGAATAGATTATACAAAGTTACCCCTAATTTTTGTACTTAATAAGATATAGTTATACAAAAGGGAGCTTTATTGACATTACTATATTGTCATCGAAAACATTCGTAGGTCTCGTTGAGACACCCTGTATATCTCTCTCGTGATAATATAAAAAAATGATATATAACATTTACTTACCTGAGGTTGTCTCTTCATTGCAGTATTTAAATCACAATGATGGATTAAATGAATAATCAAATCCTGTGATGTCGCAAATAGATCTGAACAGACAGCACACGAAAAAGGAGTCATGCTATGACTGTAATTAGGATCGGGTCCCGAATGATGGGATCGTATATGTTCTCTTAATACCACCCTTTGGTTGAATGCACGGGGACATACTGCACATGCGTAAGGTTTCTCTCCTGTATGAATTCTCTCGTGCTTTCGTAAAGTGCCTCCATCTGCAAACGCTTTCCAACAAAACCGACACCCGTACGGCCTTTCGCCTGTATGAATTCTGTGATGAATTTGTTGGGAGCTTCGAGATCCGAAAGTTTTCCCACATTCCACACAAGGAAAGTGCCTACCAGTTACACCACTGTGACTATGTCGGTGATTCATTAAAGTCCTTCCATCGGGAAAGTCTTCGCCGCACTCTTCACATGACACTACCTTATTTCTATGCGAGATCATGTGACGCTTTAAACGTGCTTTGTTGTGAAACGTTTTATCACATTTTGAACACCCAAATAATTTTTCCTGCGAATGCTCGAAGGAGTGCTTTAAAAGTGTACGTCTATCTTTACATGTACGTCCACACATCATGCACGTATTAGGTGGCAAACTCTTACCATGTCTAGTCAGGACATGGGCCGCGACAGTTTCGTCATTAATAAAAACCTCGCCGCAAATCATGCACCTGTGTTCCCAGCCTCTCGCGTGCACTTCTGCATGCGCCAGAAGCTCGAGCGCTTCCGGAAACGATTCCCCGCAAACGTTGCAGATGTGACCAAAGCCGGCCTCCTTGGTCATCTCCTCTTTGATATGAATCCTTTGATGTCGCCTCATATTGTCTTGTCGATGAAATGACATGCCGCATGTCGGGCAGAAGTATTGTCCATACTTGGTTTCTTCGTCTGAGTAATCTTCATCGTCGTCGTCATCAAAGTTCTGTTCAATGCCTCCGTGCTTAATGCGCACGTGCTCGCGCATGAGCGCTATGTCCCAGAATACCTAAACAAGAGAAAGTATTATTCGAACCTAATCGACATTTTCCAGTTAAATTTTGTTAGTGTATTTTTTAAATTTGAATCATTCATAATTCAAGTAAAAATACAAACCAATGATCAACCTTCATAAAAAAAGATCGTGCCATCTAATCCCCACAACATAATAGAGGTGATATTAAGACGATATACAACGAGACTTGCTTCCCCCGTTTCCTTTATGGGTGCAGAAATAGGAATATAACTATGACTACAGTCACAAGTCTCTTTAACAAACAAGATCAATTGTTTTCATTGTAATTGAGCAAATATATTTCCAAAAATTATAGTTCGTCACAGGCAACCACCACTGATGTAATAAACTGTCCCACTAGAAGTACATACCGAAGGAAGTAAAAACCGTACAACACCATCCATCCACATATGGTGTTCAATTTAACACACAATGCGGCGCCCCTTTTAGCAATGACCATAAACCATCTCCTAAATGTGTACAAAAGAAAAGTGACCCACTCCAAAAAGTAAATTCAAATCAGCTAATGGGAGTGATGTTTTCCTTTGAAGATTACTTTTGAAAACTTACAGAATGACCTCAATGGTTCTCCTCCAATCAGAAGCGCTAGTCCACTTACCAAAGCCAAGGGATTTGTGGGATGGGATTAGAAGTTTTAGGCAGCTTTAAACTTGATAAAACACTGATCCTAAAAAGATAAATAAAAACCAGGTGCCAAATTCTTGACAGAACAGCTTCCTAGCTCAAAACAGATAATATTCAGCCATGATGTATCAGAAATGCCAAACTTAACGTGCAGGTTATCTGCCAAAAAAAAACGTTATATTGCGTTCTTTAGGGGTCTATTCTATATATTGTCGTTAACAAACAATGTTGTGGTAATGACTCGATCTTCAATGATCAGTCGTTCGAAAGATAATCGTTAGCCGATCATGAATTCTCGTTACAATAGTGGGTCGAATGAACAAAATTTATCAACATTACAACTATTTCAGGGGAAGAATACACAGAAAATAACAAATAACTTCACGCCAATCTAACGTGAAACATATACTCGTATGCTGCTTACACAGAGGAAAAAAAGGCAAGAACGCTCAATGGATTTTGTAAAATATACCTACCCATTTATAATTTATAATAATCGATTAAAAATTGGGCAAATCCACTGTGGCTATCAAAACTCATACAACTAGAGCCCAATATATGCTGTACGTTGAGCAACTCAAATCGTAAGGCCTTTAGGAGAACAAATTTGACGCTTAATAAACCTCATATAATACCTGAGAAAAATTAATACAAACGGATGAAAACTGTCAAGGGGTATTTTTGAAAATATGCAGAGTGCATTGTATAGGTATATGCTAGATTTTTACAAACTTTTTTTATTTACAATGTAAATAATAAACCTTAGGCTGTCATCTTTCAATAAAAATGAGGTTAGTTATGCTTATAAGACCTCAACAAATGATTAGGGCTTGTCGTAAAATAATATTTCCATTACGAAACAACCCATTTTAGCATACAGGATCCACAAGTCGTGGCCGAACGATAATCGCTATGTAACGACATCGTTACGCGTTTAGAATAGGGCTCTTAATATGGGCAAAACAACGTTTTCTACAGATAACCTGTACGTTAAGTTTAACCTTTGATACATCACAGGGATGATTTAAAAAAAATTACATCCTTTATGCCGAATGTATACTGCCAAAATGTTAACAAAATCAAAATAACTGTTTTGCTGAAAAAAAATTAGTTTATAACTTGTGACATTTTTTCACCGTTTTTTGCCGCATTTTCCGCCCCTTGGACATAGTGGACCCTAGGCTACAAACCTAAAATATTTTCAGTTCGATCGGAACCCATATACAGGGTGATTCATATCAAAGTTACATTTTAATGGAACCCCCTGTATATTTGGATTACTTGGGCATTTTTGGTGTGACTTTATGTGACATACTTGCGATCTAAAACGAACAGCTTAGCCACAAATCGATATTTTTAAGAAATGCGTATGTCTGAAAAAAATTGAATATCGCAGTAATTATCAAGCTGTGACTTTGTGGAATTACTTACCACAAACTGTACCAATGTAGACCGGATGAGCAGGGTAGAATTCTTTTTACGTTTTGAGAAATCAATTTACTTAATAAATTTAATTTTTACGACAGGGGAGTTTCCAAAACACGGTAAAATTGCGAAAATCAAACCATTGCATAAAAGTAAAACAAAAAAGGATGTATGTAATTACAGACCGATATCGATACTTAACACCTTGTCAAAAATAGTCGAATCACTATTAAAGAACAGATTGATTTCGTACTTCGAATCTCACCATTTATTTAATAATTCTCAACACGGGTACAGAGCTGGAAAATCGACGAACACGGCACTACAAAGCATGCTAAAGTTTGTTTACAATTTCCATAACAAGGGTAAAATTGTAGCATCGATAAATTGCGATCTCTCCAAGGCTTTTGACTTGGTAGATCCGGAATTACTGCTGTCAAAACTCCGTGCGCACGGAATTAGAGGCGTACCGTTAAATTTATTAAAATCGTTTGTTAGTGACAGATATCAATATGTTGTAATTGACAAAGTCTATAGTTCGGGACAAATAGTTGAAGTAAAGTCACAAGTACGACCTGTGAATTATGGTGTGCCACAAGGCTCCATTCTCGGTCCCATTTTATTTATCATATATATGAATGATTTGCCAAATAATTTAATAGATACGTGTCACATTTGTACTTATGCAGATGATACTAGTGTAACTATTGCCTGCAGTCAAAACGACTTAAAATTCACCTTAAACAAATCTTTGGCACAACTAATCAACTGGTTTAATGCAAACTTTTAATTAACGTTGAGAAAACTAAAGTACTTGTCTATAAGAAAAATTCAACTTCTGTTATTTCAAACATAACCTACGAATCGACAATAATCGAAACAAGTAATTCCTGTAACTTTCTCGGAGTTATATTAGACCGAAATCTCAACTGGAAGGAACACATTGAACAACTACAATCAAAATTACACCAATCAATTTTTGCGCTCTCACGCTGTAGACAGTTCTGCAATAAAGATACGCTAATCAAAGTGTATTATGCTCTTTTTGATACGGAATCCTACTGTGGGGAAATACCAATAAAAATTTAATTAGCGACATTTTCAAAACTCAAAAACGGGCGCTTCGGACAATATTCTCGCTACAGCGAATGGAAACCTGTAAGCCGTACTTTCAACAGTTCCGCATTCCTACTCTGTATAGTTTGTATATTATTGAATCTTTGTGTTATGTTTTTAAAAATAAGGCATTATTCTCCTTTAATTCCGATTGCCACAAATATAATACAAGATCAAAAAATAATTTTGCAATAACCGCCTCCAAAAGTAAAGTGTATGACACATCACATCTACAAATGGGTCTACGATTTTACAATGCTCTCCCTAGAAATATCAAATCTATATCGGCATTCGTCCCATTTAAAAATAAAATTCGGAAAATACTTAACACAATGGCACCATATTCACTGGAAGACTTCTTCACAAATATCGCAATTTATTAACTGTACTTTTTATCGAAATTTTTATATACATTTAATATTGTTATGTTGTTGTTTGTTTAATTTATATCATAGTCTATTTAAATTTTATCTTTACATTTAATATTGTTATGTATATGTTGTTGTTTGTTTGATCTATATTATAGTCTATTTACAGTTTATCTTTATACATTTATATGAAGTTGTAATTGTTCCAATGTTATACCACAAAAGTGGTTCAATAAACGATCTCTCTCTCTCAATTTCCAATTTAGAACGATGGAAAAACGGCCTAAAGCGAATAGGCTTTTGAAAATTGGTGCATAACTAATTATTTTAGCTAGAATATTTTCACATTTCTTATGTCCGTTTTCTAATGCATTTTTTACATCTTTTTCAAATTGACTGAAATTTTTGAATTATTTGAATATTTCTGAAACTTTTAACAAATGAACCCTTTTACAAAACTAATTACCTTTTGTAATGCAAAAGCAACAAAACCTAAATTCTATGATTAGAGTAAATAGTACACATAACTTACCCAGAGATTCATGTAAAATTCTCTTTGCAAAAATTTAAATAGTCCCCTTTTTTATGTTGACCAAAAGATTCTACACTGCAACTACCTACACAATTTTTTTTTACTGTAAATGAAATCTTGCTAAATAAACGTCGATTGCAGTAAAATAAACGATTGGTAAATAAATAAAATGAAATAAAGTTAATCAACTTTTCCACTCAACTCCAACAAATTCCCTGCAGAAGAAGAACTCAATATTTCATAGTGGAAAAAAATCTGTACGTTCAAGTTGTATAGCATCTTAGAATGACGCGTCATCTTCTCTAACTTCTGAAACACTTTCCCTAGTCCTACCTATTTTGAATGAATTATCAAATCTTTGGAAGAAGTGAATTAAGAAAAATTCTTATGGCCCAATGGACGAAACTGCATTATAAAAGTTTGCTGCCTTCAATGAATTAATGCAGAAGAAAGTGTTTTTCCTGTAACATTTATGAGATTTATTTATTTATTATCTCTCTCTTGTTCTGGGCCCTCAACAGGCATGGGCCCAATTACAGACTGCGCATAATGCTTTTTAGAAGTGTCTGAGATGCAACAATCGACATATTTTTGCCAACGCTTACACTGAGTTTCATATACAGGGTGTTTGGTAAACATGCGGCAAAAATGAAAGAGGTTATTCCTTGGACTATTCTAATGTTATTTTATCCTTTGATGATTTTTGAAAAAAAGCTTCGTTGCGAAGATACATGTGTAATTTCTGCCCTTATTACTTAAACGGTTGTTTGTGAAATCCTCTATCATGGCTCATTATTCGAATGCGTTTTTTCAAAAAATCATCAAAGGATAAAATATCATTAGAATAGTCCAAGGAATAACCTCTTTCATTTTTGCCGCATGTTTACCAAACACCCTGTAGTGTAAATCGAGGTGTACCTAAAAGCATATTTTAACCATGGCGGACATTTTGTTGATAAGTAACAATAGACAATTTGTAACATTGCAGTGCATTTTATATTCATCATAGATGACAAACTTAGCTCCTACCTTTACAATGAAATTGAATAGTATTTCCATACCAATTTTAACCATGGTTATTTTTAATTCTTTCCGCCCGTCCGCCTGAGGGTTTGAGGTATCGACACCTAGGGTGGAGGAAAAGAAAAAAGAATGTCTAATATTCCGTTTATGCGCAAGCGCATACCAACTTTGTTATTTACCAAGATATTTTAACGAAATTTTAACTACAGATATTTCTCATAAAACGGAGTCTAAGTGAAAATAAGTACTATACCATGGACTCTGTTTGCGCATGTGCTGAACTATAGTGCAGCGGAGAGCCGGCGCTAACTCGCTTATTTGAGGTAGTTTTTTTTTTCGGAGTAGAAAGAATTGGGACCCACACCATTTTGTTCAGAAATGTTTGAACCTTCAAAATCTCGCTTTACGACATTTTCCCGTGGTCCTGACAAAAGTTATAGGCCGCTAAAGTTGAAATTTACTCATTTTCGCGCGCGCGACTAGACTACCGAAAGTATTTATTTTCTCAGCAACTAAGCGATATACATCAATAATTCCTTTTGTAAAATGAAAGTACATTTATAGCAGAATCTAAAGCATTCATATTTACCTACATTGTTATGCACAGTTTTTCGAAAAATGACCGTCAACTTCCCAAGTTCGTGTAGCAGATGAAAAGTGCGCACTTTGAACTCTCATAACTTTTTATTTCACGGTATCGATTTCCAATATTCATAGCTCATTCGATGCTCCAAAGCATTGTGATTATTTTATTTTCTATAACATTACCGTGAATTTTTCATAATAAAAAAGTTACGGTTATTTAAGTAAAAACCTACCGACCTCGCCCAGTCGGGAGTCGCGAGTGAGACGGAGAGGGAACGATAGTCAGCAGCGTTCGCTAAGCAAGGAGCGATGCGTAAGAGGTTCTCCTTTACTAAGAAATTTCTCTCCGAATACCAAAACTAGCTATTTAGGCCGTTTAAGCGTTTACAAATGCATTAATTCATTAACTCCATGTATCTCAGTTCTTTGGTGAGATATATAGGTACAAATAGGTACCTTTCCCTGTAAATTTTGGGGGTTACTCCACATTAGGTATCTCTTGTGCTGTGCTGTATATTGCAAGATCAGCAGTGACAACGGTATGATTTTGTCCCAAAGATTCAGGCTTGTTTTTTGATTTCACTAGACGATTGGTTAGGATGGTATTGTAGCTCGCTGGTGGAGAATTCAAAAACGGCACCCATATATTGAATAGTAGATACCGGAACTTACTTAGGATTATCAGCATGTACTTAGGCTGTTAAAGTCAGTTACCTGGTCGTTATCTAGTGATAGGTAAACGAGGAATTTGGATTTCTTCTGTCGATGTATCTCGCTTTTGAAAAAGGACTGTGCGTTGAATTTTTTTCGTCTGTTTCCACAGAATATGGCCTACTTATTCTTATTCTGTGACTGTTTCCTCATTGATGTCGAAGTTGCTCGCTGTGATAAAATATCATTTTTTATTTGACAAATTTTTGTGAAATGTAGGTAGACACCCTTTTAGCAGAACATGTAATATTGACGTTTACTGTACTTGTTATGCCACTGTCGGAGAACATTTTCTGACCCGAAAGACCAATTTGCAAATGAGTGTAACTTTTGTTTGAAAAATGACCTTAAGAAAAACTGTTCAATAATTTTGTCCCGTAAGTATGTACCTACACAACAAACTTCGTGGAATTTTGTCAATTTTCGTTGTCCGGCCAAGAATTGCAGTGGAATTATTTTTTTCGAATTTTCAAAAACTAATTTCAGATTCAAAAACCACCAGATACCAAATTTCGTCGAAATCAACATTTTTTCGCACCCCTATTGAGGGGTGTGCCCTTTTGCGGTAGAAATTTTGAAAAATTATTTGCAAAACCGGAAAGGGCATACAGCAAAACCTATTCAAAGACTTACCACCAGTCTCTGTAACTGTTGCTGAGAAAAAAAGAAACTTTACCACTTTTTTGAGGGTGGCTCCTAAACGAATACATGGATTTTTTTTTTTTTGGTGTTTGGATCCATCGTTCCTCGAAATGGGGGTTGAAATATATTGTGTGATCAAAACTCTCTAAACCTTCCCCATATAGTTTTTATTCGTTGAAGTTTTTTAAAAATAAAAGCGACTATAGTTTCGGCGTACTGCCATCATCAGGCGATGTGAAATTTAACAGGAAAACGGTAAGTTACAAACGTTGAAGACGAATAAGACGAACATGTTGTTTTTTAATTATTAACTGGCCGAAGCCAAGTGAAAAAACCTGAAGGGTGGTTAAACCGGAAAGGTTGTCCTAAGTTTCAAAACGAATTATTATCAAGCCTTGTTAAGACAACCAACCGGAGGGTTGAATTATTACATTAAAAGTTGAAAGTTGAATTTAACACATTTCAAAAGAACCGGGGGGAAAAAATAAACTTATAAAAGTTTTGAAACTATTGAGATGACTACATATTTAAATTATTTAAGTTAAGTTTAAATTCGAGATCATGCAGACGGCATGTCTAGAAATGATTGACCACCAGGTTTACCTATCACTAGATAACGACCAGATAACTGACTTTAACAGCCTAAGTACCTGCTGATAATCCTCCTAAGTAAGTTCCGGTATCTACCATTCAATATAATATACCTATGCCGTTTTTGAATTCTCCACCAGCGAGCTACAATACCATCCTAACCATCGTCTAGTGAAATCAAAAAACAAGCCTGAATCTTTGGGACAAAATCATACCGTTGTTACTGCTGATCTTGCAATATACAGCACAGCACAAGAGATACCTGATGTGGAGTAACCCCCAAAATTTACAGGGAAAGGTACCTATTTGTACCTATATATTTCACCAAAGAACTGAGATACATGGAGTTAATGAATTGTTTGAGATTTTACAATGCAACTCGGCGGAATGCATTTGTAAACTAAACGGCCTAAATAGCTAGTTTTGGTATTCGGAGAGAAATTTCTTAGTATAGTAAAATCTCTTACGCATCGCTCCTTGTTTAGCGAACGCTGCTGACTATCCTTCCCTCTCCGTCTCACTCGCGATTACCGACTCGGCGAGGTCGGTAGGTTTTTACTTAAATGACCGTAACTTTTTTATTATGAAAAATTCACGGTAATGTTATAGAAAATAAAATAATCACAATGCTTTGGAGCATCGAATGAGCTATAAATATTGGAAATCCATATCGTGAAATAAAAAGTTATGAGAGTTCAAAGTGCGCACTTTTCATCTGCTACACGAATTTTGGAAGTTGACGGTCATTTTTCTAAAAACTGTGCATAACAAGGTAGGTAAATTGAATGCTTTAGATTCTGCTATAAATGTACTTTCATTTTACAAAAGGAATTATTGATGTATATCGCTTAGTTGCTGAGAAAATAAATACTTTCGGTGGTCTAGTCGCGCGCGCGAAAATGAGTAAATTTCAACTTTAGCGGCCTATAACTTTTGTCAGGACCACGGGAAAATGTCGTAAAGTGAGATTCTGAAGGTTCAAACATTTCTGAACAAAATGGTGTGGGTCCCAATTCTTTCTACTCCGAAAAAATTTTTTGAACGATTTCGCGGCTCTCTCCGCTGCACTACTAACTTTTTTAATTTCTGATAAAAGCAAAAAAAAAACATATTTCCGAAAACCAAACGCAAATGGTGGCGAATTTCTCGAGAACGTTCCCCGAAGTGGATTCTCACAAAAAGAAAACGTTTTGAAAAACCGCGCCTGTTGATGGAGTTAAAACTGCAAATGCGAATTATTATATTTAAATGACAATTTGTGTGTCCCTATAAAAAGTGTAAGTAACAATAGTATCAAATTGGTTTCAGATTTTTTAACGAATAATAATGCGAATGTCTTGAGAACTGAGTATCGGAACTCATTAATCACAAAGAAAAAGTGAAAGGCCTAATCAAGACTCATCTAATGGTACATTATACTTGTCACTAGTAACAGAGATATGTGTTAGAGAACAGTGTTGAAATAGGGTACTCACAAAGTGCAGATATAAGTTATTGCGCACAGATGCATCTGTCGCACATACAGCATCTTCGATTACACTTCTTAGCTGTAGTGCATAGTAAAATTTCCCAATCTGGTTAAAGCAAGTTATGTTAGTTATGGCCATTTTTTCCATTTTCAACTCACAACTCGTAAACGAAGTAGATCTTATCAGAACTCTGATTAAGTACATTGGCAAAAAAAGTAGAACGGGTTTGCGAAAAAATTTAGACACCCTGGTATAATTAAAAAATATTTCTGCAAGAGCAAAATTTTCTAGTAGGTATCAGATGACGTAAAACAATTGAAATTCTCTTTGGCAGAAATGTCAAAATCTGGTTTTTTTGTTATAATTTTACCACTTTGTGTAAACCAAATTTTTCTGCTGTTTGGTTTATGATGATTTCTTGCTTCAAACAATTTTAAGATAGTGTCACAATCTGGTTGTCTAATATGAAAACATTTTTTTCATTCACCCCTCTGGCTCAGGGTAAATGTAAATTAAAAAACTGCAAACTTTGTTTCCCCACCTGACCGTAATACTAATAATAATAATAACAATAATAACCTCCTCACAGGTGCGGCATTCAAAAGGGCTGTCACCACCATGGACGCGTGCATGAGAAGCCAACGCCTTCTCACGTGCAAAACCGACTCCGCAGTGCTGACACACAAAGGGCTTACGCGGATCAGTAATTGGAAATCTTGGTTCCGTCATTGGGTGGTTCTCTTGAGGCATAAAGTTACCAAATTCCGGGTCCGGTTTATGCTCCATCTCTTCCATGAGTTTAACATCTTCGTCAACATAATTGTACGCGCGCGAGCTCGACCCATCCATATCCTCCTTCTTAATCTTGTAGCTCTTACGCTTCTTAAAGAAACTCTTAATTTTCTGCTTCTCAACATCAGAATCGTCCATAGTCTGCGCATCTTCCTCCTCCAACCCGTCAGTCTCCGGTATATATGCGTGAATTTTTAAATGATTCATCAAATCGCACTTTCTAATGTAGCGAACCCCGCACAAATTACACCCGTGCGGTCTGTCCGTCTGGTGGGCCACCATGTGATTCATAAGATTCGATTTCTTCCTAAATCGACGGCTACAAAAATCGCAAGGATATGGACGTGCGGCAGTGTACTCGTCCTGATCAGTTGGTAGAGGAATTTCTACATCGTCTAGCTCCTCCACGTTCTCTTCGGAGCCAACAATGATTTCAGAACAGTTCTCCCCCCAAGAGTCTGTTACGACTTCCTCATTGGTTATATCTAACAGTTGCTCTTCGACAAAGGATTCGTCGGACGCCTGCTGTATGACCATCATTTCGTCTTCAGTCACATACATGATGCCGTTACCTTGAGCCACTTCGGGGATGCTTTGCGCGTCACGCTCGGCGTTGCCTTGCACGACGACCTCCTCGCACACTTCAGAGAAGTCATTGTTCTCTGCTAGTATTGTGCAATCGTTATCGATACCACAGATTACCTCTTCGGTTTGTATGACCGTGGAGCCATCCTCCCACACTAACGTGTAACTCTCGTCCATTTTCAAATGATTAGTTTCATTCTTTCAGCCACTTAAAAAAACAACAAATTTTGTTAGGTTATCACTATGTTTGACAACTAAGGTTATATTTAATTGAGGTTAGTAAAGTTTATGATTTTGAAAAACGTAAACAAACGAGTTGGTGATAAGAATTAGGAAGAGAAAAATTTGTTTAATTAGAATACGAAGACGTAGGACATCAACCAACACAAATACGAATTGTATAACTGCGCGTTAATAACTTTTGTACTATTCAAAGGCGAATTACATCACTAGGTTATATGGTTTTCGGAAATAATTTAAACGTTAATTAGGCTTACCTATCATTAAAACACATAATTTTAGTGTATCCTACTCGAAAAAGGACTCGGTATATAATTTACAAAGAAAAATTCCAACCTCACTCGCGATATCGAACGATGGCGTCGACCTTCACAGTTTGCCTATTACAGCAATGGCTGCGTTCGTTGATTGTGTTCTAATTAGTTAATTTAATTTTGTGCAAAATATTGTCACCGAAATAATGCTACGGACAGCTTTTAAAAGATTCCAAACGAATTCAAACAATCAAAAATGTAAGTAAAATAGGTTATGGAAATAAAATATTAACCTTACCAGTACATAAGCCGCCAAAACTTTCAATTTCCGGTCGTTGACATTCCCGCCGAAACTTTGAAATGAGCACGTTCAATGGAAAAATCTTGGAAATTCCCGAAATAAGCGTAGATTGCTTTGAAAATGCGAACAATTTGGATTCTCTCGTCTACTTTCTATCGCACTGCCACACCGATCACATGCGCGGGTTAAGTGATTGGCGTTTTCAAAATTCTTTGCTGGAAAGGCCCGATGTCTACCTGTACGCGACTCCAATTTCAGTGAGGATTCTAAACCACAGGTATCCACAACTGGAAGCCAAACTAATCGAAATCGCCACTTCAAACTCGACACTAATTAAAATCCCTTACAAAAACACCCATTTAACAGTAACAGCCTTGCCCGCCGGACACTGTCCTGGCTCTGTTATGTTTTTATTCGAAACTGCTAGCAAGAACATCCTTTACACTGGAGACTATCGTGTATCCGCAAGTGACTTACGCAAATACAACGCCTTCTACTCCATGGGTGAAGTAAAACGTATTGACAAGATGTACCTCGATACCACCTTTTTCAACCGCTCATACTTCAAACTGCCACCGAGAAGTGACAGCATAAGTAAAATATGTACAGTCATCGATAAGTGGATCAAGCAAAGTCCCGCTCATATAATTAACATTAAACCAAGCGCTACCTACGGTTCCGAATTCTTATTCATGGAAATTTCCAAAATAGTCGGCATGCCCATACACGTCAATTCCAAAACTTACAACCTGTACAAACGCATACCGGAAATGGACGAGACGGTCACCTTAAGTGCCACAACACAATTACATGCGAATTGTGGCAGTGAATTTAAAGAAATTTGTAAAAAAGATAAGGCACTAATCCGAACTATCATACCCTCTACACTGTATTGGAAGAACAGGAATACGGACAGTGATTGTATTGAAATTGGGGAAACAGGGTGCTATCGTGTATGCTATTCTTGCCATGCTTCGCTAGAAGAAATTGAAGAGTTTTTATCATTTTTAAAGCCAGTTGAAGTGGAACCCTGCGTGGTTCCGTCTTCTCCAAGAGAAAAGGAAGAAATGTTTGACCTATTAGAAAAGGTGATGTCTACATATCAATCACGAAGATTGGAGGAAGAAGAAGAATCTAAACTGTTTAAACAAGTTGAAAATGCACCTAACACTCCTGAGAAATCTGAATGCGAGTGGGACGATGTATTGGGATCACCTGTTAATAATTTTAAGCGAAAAAGGTTGTGGTTGCAGGATGATGATGGTGATGAATGAATTTAATTGGTTGAATATTAAAGTATTTGAATAATTGTATCTCCAATTTTGTAACACTGTTTTAAACAGCTATTTTTACATTTTGAATGTATTTTATAATATACTGATTTTTATAGTCTCAGAGAATTTCTTTAATTCAACAGAATGTCCTAAATTGCAGATTAAAACGCTTGATTTCGTACATTCTGCATATGGCGAGAATATTTCCAGAAAAGTTTCCTGAGTTTCAATAGGTAGGTAGGTACTTGATTACTTAAGGCATTGAATAAACTTAAGGTGAAGGTGCTTATAGCAGACTCGATGTCATTTTGGAGCAAAGAGTAAGTACCCACTCTTTAGTATAAGGGCCTTAGCTTTCTGCACTAATAAACATTAAAAAATCAAAGGATTTTCTTAAAATGATAAGATAATACATGTAGTGTCACATTGTCAGTGGGCTCCAAAATGGCGGACGACACTAGTGCCGGGTTATAGAGCGGTTGAGTTTATTGGCAAATCTTATTTTCGTTGGCGCCTGCCTACGTCGAGTGCTTGGTAGTTGCTCGCACGCGTTGGTTGCTTAGACAAGATGGACTTTTTGTACCTACTTGTACTCTTTCTATATGATACAATTTATTTCCCGCATATACCTACCTACTACATGTAGGATACAGTACAAAAAATGATTGGTGTTCCAGCGCATTCATAAAGAGTTATGAGGGCAACCTTAAATAGAAGATTTCCCAATAAATGGATAGGACGAGGAGCCCTACTAGCTGGTCCGGGCGGTCACCAGGGTTGAATCCAGTTAACTTCTTCCTTTGGGGAAAAAATGAAGTTCTTGGTATATGAAATGGAAGAAAATCTTGTAGCAAGAGTAGTTTCTGCTGCTGGCAAAATAGGGGATAAACCAGAGAGGTCTAATGTTTGCTCGAGTGTTTGCTAATTTCAAGCAGTGTAAATATCTGGTTTTGTTATTGAAATAAAATTAAAACTCATTAGTTACGTTTATATAGGCACGTGGTCAGAAACATTAAAAACATTCTGCTTCAGGGTATACCAATAAACATCCAAATTACAAGGAATTAATTCTATAAAAGGTTCCTGTGGAAATTAAACAATTTATGGCCATTTGCACCAAGAAATTTAAGCGGATCTTAGCTTAAGCCATTGTTTATAGCCGTTTGCACTGACAAATTTAGCTTAACATCCATGGCAACGATTATCGAGACAATGGTTCCCATGGATTTTAGGCTAAGCAGTGCTTAAGCGTAGCATAAAATCCATGGCAACCATTGTCCCAATAACAACACATACGTCTCATATATGTTATTGCGGGAAAGAGTATATACTTTTTGGTTGTGGATAGTTTTCCTGAAAAACCAGCATCACCCATATATGACAGACCACATAATATAAACAAATAAAAAGAAATTGTAAAGCGATACGATTTGTTATAAAGGCATTGGTTCTAGGCTTTTGTGTGTATTATGAGCGAACCAAACGAATGAACGCAAATTTGGAGGAGTAGCTCCCAAAAATAACGTTTTTGACCCTTTTACAAAAATATATATTACAGCTACAGAGTGCCTGTTTTCAACACTTCATCATGGAGACTTATAGTTGGAGCAACTAGTAAGAAATATACCTAATATCCAACAATATATGGAGTGGCAGTATGTAAATAATCTAAAAATCACTGTAAGTAAATACATCTTAAAAATGGAAATGTAAAGTGAATAGATGAATCCCTCCCCCCCTCCTCAATTACCATTGATGTCTGAAAATTGTTAGAATGAAGGTGCATATAACATCTCCATAGGAAAACACCATTGAATAGTTAGCTGCTGTTACCTTCTTATCTGAAATGCAGTCATTTGACCTTCAAATTTCATTTTAACTGGTGTGAAAATATTTCGAAATAATAAAGTGATTAAAAATTTGACAACTTCCCATTTATTACTTTATATTACATGTATGTGAGTGATGATGTAAGTATAAACAAATGAAAAACGCAGCACAAAATTATAATACAAAAAAAACCACAATAAATACAAATGCCTAAATAACTAATTTATACAAAAAACTTCTAAACTTACAATTGAAAAAAATAATTATATGTATGTACTTTAATCACATTTAGGTATATACATAAGCTATGTATCACAACACTACATATTACATTTCTTATTGTAATAGCTTTAATTATATACATTTTTTAAATATTATATAAATAAGGAATACCTAAAAACATGAAATGTTAATATTAATTCTATAACCTTTATCTTAATTATATAAGTATGTAGTATTATGAATTTTTCAAAACTTTGATTTGAGTAATTTTTAATCCTAGAAAATGGGTATGTGGCAGTTTAACCGTTAAACTTAATTAACTAATAGTTGTAAACCTGAATACGTTTTTTTAAATTGGTCCAGAATACAAAAGTTTGCAACTATTTAGTGAGAAGAGAAAGTTGTGCGAAATAAACTTGTATAGCTGCAAAATCTTTCGTATCGTTTCATTCCAGACTAGAAAATTAGCTGCCTTTCGGTTCACTTCGAATGTATAAAAGTATTAAACTACACACGTCACAAATCAACATTATCAAATAAAGTTGAAGATTCGTCCGCTAGTCGAATATCTATTTAAATTCTACATATTCTCGACTATGTTAAATTTAATATAAGAAATCGAAACAATTAAAAAACATGGAAGATTAAGATTAACTATAATACTTAATGCCCGTGAGATAATTGAATGGGATAACTCATCTCAAATTCACTACAAAAGGTCATTTGATGTTAATTGTCCTGGTATATTTTCCGTTATTGCAATATACAATCTTCAAAAACTTAGTTCGTTTACCCAACCTAAAAAAATATTCCAAAAAAATTTGTCAAGTATAAAGAAAAATACAAAAGTTTACCACCAATTCTACAATGCTTAAGTCTACAAATATAAATCTCTTACGACAAATTGACCTACGCACTATCTATTGTAAATAATGTAAAAACAAATAACGAAGACGAATAATAAGTGCATAAGTAAATGTGTTGGTATGTATCATTATAATTAGTATGATATAAATACAAGTCTTATTACACACAGCTAGCCTGCCCGGGTTGTCTCTCAGTCGCACAATGCACACATTCATTGAGCAAATTTACGCAGTCACATAACAAAAATTGGTCGACTGCATAAAAGGTGCTCTTACATAATGGTAACGAGCACAAAACTGCTGACTGGCGGGAATACCAGGCAAGCAAAATAATAATAATTAAATTCCCAATCGGCTTCAATTTCTAAAATAAAAATTCAATCCGATGATATGTTAAATACGGTCAGAAATGAAAACGGTTTCGCCAAAATTGAAATAAAATAAAATAATTCAAACCGATTGGGCGCACTTAAAACACATTCACCCTATGAGACAAGCGACTGCACACTTCTTACAATCAGAGAACAACATCGGGCAGACTTTGTGGCCACTAGGCTCTCGAGTCATTGTCATGTACTATCTTTCTTTCTTTGTAGTAAATTTCTTCACTCTCTTTGTCGCACAGTAAAAGTACTACACCACCGAACAAGAATATCGCTGCACCCCAGCCGACTCCGTATGCCCAACCGAATTCCCAAATTTTTCGGTTACCTAAAACAAGAGTTTTCCATTACATGAGGTTTTATTACTAAAATTTTTTCGATGTACTGCTCCATTGGAATTAGCTTTTTATTAAAAGGCTGATTGCGTTGAAAGTGTGTATAATTATAAATAATTTCTCTAGGCTAATCGATTTCGGACAATACTTCCATCATCCAGACCTTAGTGTCAAGGTTAAAAATACGTAGACATTTATGTACGTAGTACAAGAAGAAGTCGAGGATGATTTGATCAAAGATGTGGTATGTCCCAAACCACCACATACACACACTTTGGAATACCCTTCTCCAACAATCCCCTCTTGAAATAAGAATTATAATCAATCACGATAAGAGGTGAGGAGAGTGTAGTTTGTAGAATTAATTCCTTGATCGAGACCCTTCATTATAGTAACATTAAGAATAAAACTAGTGCCCCCCCCCAATCCTACTTTGATCAGGCCTCCCCCCACCCCCACGTCCTACTTCGATAAGGGGATAAGAAAGAAAGGCGTTAGTTGGTAGTGGTTAGTTCTTTTTATTGAGACCTATAACTTTAACGCAAGATTAGTATACCCCTCCCCCCCCCCCCTAGCCCCGGTCACGAAAAACCATGTCAATGCATGGAATACATGGCTATAGGCAACCAACATTACATGCGACAAATGAGTTATTTTTAGTGCACTTTCTCTTTCAAAAAATAAAAGTGCCCTTTTGTGCTCTTGATGTCTGCTTGAGTCACAAAGGCTAAACATTCATTTACTTGAATGAGTGTGGGGAGCCAATTGAATACACTATTTCAGTTGTTGGCTTTTGTTAGTCAGTAGATGGCGCTGTATGCCAAAGAGAAAATGATCAGATAACAGTGGTAAATCTTCATAAATCAATGCAATGCATACAGATTCCACATGTACTGCTCAAAATTAATCAGATTCTAACCTAAAATTTGTACCTACCTAGATTTAATTCGGCAGCAAAACATACAGGATATATAATTAAAGCTATAAGAATGGAGACCACTGCAAAAAAAACGGTATTTTAATTATATTTACAACAATTTCATATAACTTACATGATAATCCCATAACGATTACTCCAAACCTGTAATATTTATATTTCGTATGATGCTCTTTTGTTCGCAGTCCCAAACCAGTTAAAACAGTGGCTACTAAATCTGTAATTAATGTTATGATACATAAGCCGGCTGCTGCGTGGATATAATCTGGAAAACGTTTGCATTACATGGTATTCAAGTGATATGTTTAGTACAATACTTTCGTTTCGAGAGGGGTAGCAACCGGAGGCTTCTTGTACGTTAAAAGGCAATGGTTGTTGAGCGTCATCTGCGATACAGTACATAAAAAGGCCTTGTCGCCATCCATCCGCCATTAGCCAGTCCGTCGATGCCAGGCCCATTATCATAAGAATTATCACTATGAGGCCACATATGAATGCGATCACCTGAAATTAAAAATAACATGTTAGCGTAAGCGTCTGATAAGTAATGCACAAAAATTGAGAATCATCCCCTTACGGATGTCTAACAATGGGGTGATCTTTTTAGTAAGACTAAATAGTACATACTGTTCGGTATTTGCGTTTTTGAATAGCCAGCTGATATTCGCGTCTTATAACCAGCATGATGCACAAAGCGTTAACTTTTAAAAATATTAGTACCACACCTATAAGCTCTTACTCATACGTCGTTATGGCAACCATTTGTTAATAACCTGTTATCTACAACTATCAGTATTTGAAGTGGTATTTATAGAATCACAAATTCTAAGGGAAGTTCTACACCAAACTGAATATTCTATATGAAATAATGAAGCGTGTGTTTACCTACAATTTGAAAATTGATAACTGAACTTAAAACCTTTGCCTTCCTGTCGTCGCCGATTCCAATGCGTCACTTTACGCCAGTGAGTAATCTTATCCATTTTACCTTTAATAAAATTACATTCACCGCATTGATTGACTAAAATAAAAAAAAATTGATCGGATTTAATCAAGCGCGCTAAATTTTCTTGTTGATATCTTATCTGCCAGGTGTTCTATAAGTAAACATTTCCAATTATATCATATTCAGTAATATTATTAATATTTTAATTAATTTAATATTTTCTGAATTAAAGTTTCTGTCCCGTTGGTTGGTTTCGTAGCAACGTCCCCAAACGTCCCAAAATTTCCGTTTTTTAAACATTTTCAGCCACCATTCTATAAGAAAAGCACGAACAGCATTTTTTAGGTTCTCGGGACCTTTCTTATTTAAAAAAAAAATAGTTGCTTAATGCTTTAGTCCTTTCTACCACAGATTTTTTTTCGCGCATTTCCTCACTCTCAAAAGTATCACCGACCACGAAATGAATAGTTTTTATAAATAAATCAAGGTTAAGGTCAAAACCTCGATCAAAACAAAAAATCACGTAAAACCCATAAAGCATTTAGAAGGCTCTGGAGGACCTTCGATACTGAAGGACACTCTTTTTGCAGACAGATTAATAAATACCTATAAAGGCACAGTCTTTCTAAAACATTTTTGAAAACACATAAAAGCTCTTGAAGTTTCTTAAAAACCCTTCAAATCAAAGGCCCACTGACCCACAAAAGCCTTTAAAACCTATGGTCTTAAATAGACGAAGAAATGATTGCAACAGCTTCTGGATGACTTTTAAAGCCGATTGCGACCCACGCAAACTTTTTAGGGAAACATAAAAGAGGTTAGCTAATCAAAGGCCCTCGAATCCTCTTCGCGAGTGGTGTCAAAAAAGCGCTCTTAATTAATTTAAATTTTACGACCAATTACAGATTTTTAGGGCGGCCGCATGCCGCACAAATAATTAAAGAAGTTTTAATTTTTGGGCGTTTTTATTCGAATGCACCGAGCTGGTTGGGATGGCGGAATTTTATAAAAGGTAAAGTTTATAAGGGATATTTTTGCATTTGCTGTTTCGCTAGTTATATTTGTTTACATTTATATAGCATTCAGACCGTTTTATTTTTGCTTCATCTTTCTTGGAAAATCTCTGAACGGTGTCTTGTAGAGCTCAAAGAATGGCAATGGAAAAGTGTTTAATTTTTATTTTTCTGTATTTGTTCAAATAACGTCAGAAAAAATAAAATCCAAAATCGGCAATTTTCGGTTATTCTAGCATATTTTCCGAAGTAATAGAAATTTTCTGGTTTTCTTTAAAGCATGATAATAATGCACATCTTTTTCCTAAATTGACCAACATCGTATTTTCTATGGTTTCGGAGATCTCCACAATGGACATCCTTATCTTGGGCACAATGTACAACTCGTAAATTATTATTTTCTAAAACAATTTTTAATTGAATTGAGATGTTTTCTACTAGGCTTTTAACATCTAATTTAACCTAAACTAAATTTGTAAAATAAATTTAACTAAAATTTCCGATATTTTCCATCTAAACAGTGTCAATTTTAAGGGTATTTTGAGTGAAGAGAAATTTAATGCCGGACATTTCTGGCAAAACGTAATAATACCGCATTACAACGGAATTGAACCGGTTACAAATTGGTCCTTCGAACCGAATCGACTAATTTTTTTTATCTACTCGCGATTGATTCAAAAGACCACATTATTACATGCGAGCCAATCATTATGGAATTAAAAGTTTCCAAATAAGAAGATAAGCATCCCACCCAAGAAGTTTGAAAGTTTAAATTCGACCTGTTCGTGCATTGTTGGTGTTAATTCTTCGGAAATGGATCTATCAAGGGGTTCAAATTGTAATTTCTCTGATTGTACTTGTAAGCCCAATTTTTAAATTCGTAAAATACGAGAAAAAAATCGACACTAATGAAAAAATCAGCGAGCCAACTGTTGGTGGTCACACACACGCGTCTCTGGTTTCCTTTTGAAAGGGAAAACAAAAAATCAATAGCAGTATGACGTGTGTGTGCGAGAATTCTATCCGAAACTCCTGCTAGATTGAATCTTCCAAATCTCTTCTAAAGCTCTAATAAAGGACGCGGTTTTAAAAGTTTAATGAAGCGTCGATGACAGAAACTACTTTTCACTTTCAATCAAAACTTAAAAATTTATAAGAGCGGTGAAGGGGAGACTTAATTCCTGAACGAACGTCGACAATTTTTCCAATCTACTTTTGATTAATTTCCAACTTTGAAAACGGTGTGTCAAAAGTATCGAAACAAAATTAAAAAGTATAAATTGAGTTTTCCCGAAATTGATCGCTTACATTATACGTTTCGGAGAAAAATGACTACAAATCAAAGAACTCCCAAGAAAATCCTCGAGATTTGTGATTTTAATAACGTACCATACGTGTCCCACAATATGTTTTCCATTAATCTGAAGAAAGCGGGCAATTCAATTAATTTATAGACGTATTCCTTTGGATGAAATCTTTTTCCGTTTCTGATGGTAGGAAAAAAAAACGGAAATGGATAGATTTGTCAGGGCCGCTTTTAATTATACAAATTTAATACAATTTGCGGAATTGACTCTCCCTCCATAACTTTTAAGTGGATTAAACTTTTGACGCATTACGATCAAACCGCATTTTAAAATGGTTGCAGTAGAAGTGTACACTTTAGAATAAGGAAATAAACGGAAAGAGTAATCAATTATTAAACAAAAAGTCAAAAACGTTGGGACCAATCGATCATTCCGCTACTTCCGCCCCATGGCGTTACTTACAAATTGACACAATTACTTTATAAGGTTGTAGGGAAAAACGACTCAAAAAGTACAATAGACGCGAAAACTATTTCAGTTCATTAACTGTACAAACAAGTTCCGTTATGCGAACACGGTAAAAACAGTTAAGAAACTTAAGAGGAAAGAAAACCTTGGAACTCAACTGTGCGATAGAAGCGTATTAGCACAGATATACGTATATATGTGGTATTAGCATTGTGTATTAGCTTCCAAAGTTCGTTGGTGCTCAAAAAAAAGAATTAATCAGACTTTCAATTGGATCAAGCCGCAGTCGTAACTCTAAAACCGTTTTTAGAGTATTTTTGAAAATTTATTTGCTTTTAAACTTACTTCAACTGGTTGGCTGGACGGCTGGCCGGCTGGCAGTAAATGCGATCCCGTAGAAGAACGCTTGTAAAAAGACGAGGAGTGTACATGCACCTATCGGAGACGTATAATTAACAACTTTATAGGAACGGGGCAACAAGATGTGGTGTCGGCGACATATGGGCGCCATCCCCGAGCGTGTTATAGGTACTAACCTGGAGATACAGTTTTTCTCCGATTGTTTTCAAATAGATGTCTTCGGAAAGATCTGGTCAACGCGCACAACTCCTGCGTGGCCTCGTAGGGACGAAATGAACCACCTTTTACACGGCGCGCTTCGAGGGGTAGTAGACTTTGGGCGCCCAAAAGTTTCTTAATCTCAAAGAATTGTTTATATCGTTGCGCGTAAGACTTTGGGAAATTTTCATAATTCAATTTATCATTAGAATATTCGTTCAAATTTGGTGAGGATCCAAATCTTACATGGATCGACTTGTTTATATTGTTTAAATTGTAACCCGAGTTGTAACCTATAAGGTTTGCATCACAAATGACGATGTATTACCTGCATTTGACAGTATTTATTGTTTTAAAGATATAATTCAGCTAAAGTATCGATTTTGATCTTGATGGGACATTCGAATTTTGAGCTTTAGCCGGACACAACGCTCCCAATACCACATAATAACAAAAGTTTCATACATTCAGGTCAACGGGGCAGTAAGGAAAATCAACACCACTGCAAGTCAATATTTGGTGCTGCCCTAGTACTACATCCTTCAAAGGTCACCCAAATAAAACAAACATTTATATAAAAAAAGAGTTACCCTCGTAAAAATGTATAGGTACCAAAGATATAAACTTATCGATACTATATGTCTAAATACTCTCGTCCCGCGATGCTACTTTGAAGAAATCCCAAATTCTCGGCAACAAAATGTCTGGAAAATCAAATTGACATAAAGATGTGCAGAGCACGATCAGTATGTGTAGTTTTACCCCTCGTAAATTCACACGAAGGAAAATATTTGGAAGTTTATCGATAAATAAATAAACATTAAGCTCTCGCTTTTTGCCCTCTCGAGTTTATTCTCGTGTTATTTTTCCGTCATTTTGTTATGAAATGGGTACGATTCGATCGTTAAAAAATAACTTTCTGTCAACGTTCGCATCAAATAATTTCGGCGACGAAGTTAAAACTACGAAAAGTGACTTATAGTCACTCGCTATTTTCCCTAATTGTGTGATCGTTAACGAGCAATCACTTAAGCTGTAAGCCATAGTCAACGACAGTAACTGTCATTAATTTGATGAAAGATTGCCATTCAATTTTGAATACTAAACAACTATTACCACAGCTATTAACGTTAAAAGCTTATTTATCGTCCGGTTAAGTGGGAATGATTAGCATTTTAGCATCAAATACAATGATAATACAGTCATACAAGT